ATTAATTTATGCGTTGTATCTCCTGCATCACGCTTCTTCCCTCTTTTCGCAGTCACTTTCTCTTTTAAGTTTTTGCACGCGGCATCCGCCATACCAGAATCTTGAAAGGCATCCTGCAAAGAATTCTGGGTTTGTTTGGCAGCCCTCGGCCATGTGGCAGCGTTCAGCCACAAACAAATTCTTTTTTCCGACCGCGGAAAAAAAAAAAAAAAACCTAGTGGCAGCGCTCGGCCGGGTAGTATTTCATTTTGATTTGATTTCATTTATCTTTGGTTTCATTTTATTTCTATTTTACATTTTACTTTCACTTGCTTTTATTTTAAAAAGAAAAATGAAAAATAAATCGAAATTAAAAAAAAATAAAAATAATTCTTATAAATTTGAATATTTTTAATGGCAGTTCTCGGCCACCATACAATTGCTTAGCTAGCCTTTAGGATTAATACTTTGGATCGAAGTGAGGCGATACCACTACTACGGTTGATGAGAGTTAACGTTACGGAAATTTCGTTGGCCAAAAACTCTTTAAACGACTCAGTACCGCTAGATCGACTAGACATTTCTGTTTTTTTTTCGGTTTTTTTTTTTTACCAACATTTCGCTCCACTCCCGACCACTAAATGCCTCGCTTGGAGGTCAACCCAGTTAATGAGATGTACATAGTAATATATGCTGAATTCAACTATGTTCCCTCTACCTTGGGTGGATGAATATTAAATATTCAAATGAGAATCAGCACTGGGAATTTAAAAATAGAACATCAAGGATGAAGGATCCATTTTTGAGAAATTATCAGAAATTCCTCCCTTACCTAGTCACCCATTCCAAATCTCACAAAATACCTAGGTGCCCTGGCTAGTGAAATGACAGCTCTTGTGCCTTGATAGGAAATTTTTCCCCACAAATTTCTCTGGCTTTCGGGTACACTCTATAGGAGTGAAGGAATATCTACCCTGACACGACTCTTTTTCCAAGCACGTTAAGCAACAGAAACCATGCCATCTTAATAAATGATTTTTTTTTCATTTTTGTTTAGCCATGTTTTCAGAATTTCTGAACAAACTTTGCCAATGCCATTTTAGAAACAATGCAGGTCAGAAAGCTGAAAGCTAAAAGAAATGGGGGTGTTGGGGGTGAGAAAGGTTTCTCTTCAAAATTCTTGACTACTAAGTTCTTCACTCCTGACCCTATTAAGACCAAAACATTCCAATTTTCACACCCAATTAAAGAGCTGTAGCCTCAGAAATGCAGATCCATTTTCAGATCTAACTTGTGTCTATAGAATCAGTTCCTCTTTAGATTGTTGGAACATAATTCAATTTAAAACAAATAATCTTGACAGAAACATTTTCCAAGCAACTTTGTTGTAATGTTATTAAGCTTCACATTGGCAATGAATGCAAGAAGTTGACACAAAAGCTCAGCCTGAAAGGTACCGGCTGTAGTTTAAAACACTTTCAGGATAAAATGAATTTAAACTCATTCAACTTTGGTTTTCATTGTTTGAAGGATCATGGCACTATAATGAGAACAAAGGAAGATACAATCAAACTGGTTTGGTTTATTTGAAATTCCTTTTACACTACAACAGATATTTTGCAACTTCTTTGCCTCTTGTTTGAGTTAAAGGGAGTAATACAATATTTCAATAATACTATAGAAAACCATGTGGGATTTTCAAAACAACATAATGGTCAAACTCTATACACATTTTCTCTCCTGAGTTGTCTACAGCTGTAATACCCTAACCTTTAGGGGAACACATACTTTTAAGGCTTGGGAAGGGATGCATAACCAACACCCATTCAAGCTACATTGTCTGCATACCTCTGGAGGTAACTCCAAAAATGTCACTCTGATTGTCTGAGTGAATTAACAAAGACAAAAACTGAGCTCAGCAAATCAAAAAATATTTTGTTACAAATCTTGATCATCTGAGCACTGCCTATACCACAATTGTGATACTTTCCAAGTTATTTTTCTGTAGGGAACATGTTGCAAGGTTAGTTTAGAGCCACACACAGCAGCGACAAAGCTGGACTAATTCCCCTAATACATTTAACACAGACATGTCCCTACTACAATTTTTTCTGTTCTGTTCCTGATTCTTGTCTTAGTAACACTCAGGCAGCATAATTACAAGAAGGTCCCAATAACATGTAGCAGCACTATGTCTCTGCAGCATGTACCTCTAGGTGGGCCCACCTTATACATCATAGGAAGTGAACATGCCTGACCCACTCACCTAAGGCTTGTGTGCTAGGGTTTTGGTGTTGCCACATTTCACATCACTTTTAATTTGTAACAGAACAAACATGCAGTAGATTGGTTTTGCCGTATGACAATTGAAAAATTAAACTGAGGTAGATTGGTTGTATTTGAAGAGAAGTAGTATTTATGAAGAGTAAAATAGCTTTGCAAAGGAATGTTCATTTTGAGAATGAATCATTTTATGTTGCTGGAACTTCTAAAATCCATTTCAAAAGAGGCTGATGTGTCTGTAGATTATGTTGTTCATTTGGTCAAGATCACATCAGTAGCTTGAGTGGATTTCCTTATTTGAAAAATTTGGCTACTGATAATAAATTAAAGGCTGCATCTTTTAGTTTCAACAACATAGCAACAATTTTCCTTGAGTCCTTGGTTGTTGCTGTTCATCTTTTGAATTAAAGTGTGCATGGCTTTCCTTGTGGATAATCACACAACTTGGTGCTTACTTCTCTATCTTGGGCTGATTCAGTTAAATGCAGTCCACCTTCCTGTTGAGAAGGTTTCATTTGCTTTGTCCAATAGATCTTACTTTTAAGCAGGTGCTACACCTCACTACTTGCTCAAGGAAACCATACTGAGGAGTAGGCATCAGTATGGTCAGTTAAAGCAAATCCTCTGCTTTCCTCCATCACCATCACCTCATCCCATATTCTCCCTGTTACCCCATCCACGGCGGTGGTCTGAAAAATATGTACCAGTTATAATAAAATTAAGTCAAATAAAAAATAACAAGTTAAGTAGTAGTTCACCTTTCAATAGCTGAATCACATCTTTCCTGTGATTCCTCTAAAAGTCTTACTATTTATACCAAGGAAAGTATTTTTTTTTCCATGTTTTATGAGGAAAGAAACCAGGTTTTCAGCTTCAAATTAGCTTGCAACTTCAAGTTGCTAAGTAGTCAACAGACTCACCATCTTTCCACTCATCCCAGTCTCTTTTCTTCTGAAGTTTAACAGGGTCATTTTCACTGTCAGAATCCTCATCACTTGTTTTGCCCTTATCCTTCATTTGGTCCCTGGGCCACACAAAAATAAGATTTCAACTTTAGATGAATGTTCCCAGAAACAACCAACATTAACAAAGCAAACAAATAAGAATGTTCAAATCTAAGGGCAGACATCAAAAGATTACTCATAACCCTTTGTCACTCCCAAGTTCTCATTGTTAATTCTCCTTACAGCATACCATACAATTTTTATGATGTTAGAGAACTTCACTAACTTGAAGGGAGCTAGAGAAACATAATAATGCAAATCTCAGCCTTGAGGCTTACAGCATGAAATCTATGAGAACTTTCTCTGGAAATTCATTCTAATAAATCACAAACAAAAGACATGACTCACTCTTTGTAATTTAGAACAACTTTTCCTTCAAGAATTTCTTTTTCTAGAAATTCCTCCTGTGTCATGGTGGGAACACTTGGGTATCCTGCCCCAAATACTTTGTTCTGAAGGTAAATCAAGCATTCATTAGCACTAAATTCTAAGTACAAGGTCTGACAGAAATTTGTAACACAGGCTTCTGGAATGACACCACTTTTAAATCAAGCAAGAACATGTATGACTGGTCTGACATCACTTGTACTCTTTTCATGCTTTGCCAAGAATACACAAGTGGCCTTATAGTTAGTAACAAAAATACTAACCTTAATCATTTCCCTTGTTATCAGAATTGGTTTAAAGCTCTGTTGAGGCTAAAATAAAATTATTTGATGCAGCTCCATTTGTAGCAATGAGAATGAAGTGAGATGTTCTCTTCCCACAGAACACTGAAGAGCTATGCTAAAGTTATAGTTAATATGTGCATGGTATGATTTTATTGAGGGTGCTTAAAGTTTTGCACTTTTAATAATGATATAGTCACATTCATTTGGAAGAACAGCTTCCCTCCAACAGCTGGAGGCTAGCAATATCTAACAGACAACCAACGTGTCACAACCTGGAATGAAACTAATGCATAAAAAAGGCTGGGCAAGAGATGAAGACACCGTTTACTTTAATTCATCAAACAGCACAACAACAGGAAATGGGAGGAAGTTTTACGACAAACTAAATGTGATCCCTTCCATCTAATTCCCAGCCATGTAAGATGAACAGCCTAATTCAGTTTTTCCACTTAAGGTTAATCAAGGGAGCAACAGTGGCATACAAACCTTCGTGGTTGCAGGTCTATCATCTTCTCTGCCTTTTAGTGTCTGCATGTGTTTCAAGATCTCCATTTCACCTGTAAATTTCAAAGAAGTACAAAGGAAATATTGGAAATAGAATACCAACAGCAACAAGCACATCCCAACCTCAACAAGTGCTACTTTTTTTCCACAAAAACAAACAAACCTGTATGAAATGGAAACTTCTATTTGGCAGGCATGCACTGGTGAAGGTCATACATATTTAATTGTAATTTCTGGTTACTTACACAAAGTCATGCATTTAATTAAACTTGAGTGTTGGTCAAAATTAAGTGCACATTTTATATAATCAAAGAGTTAGTAGTTCTCCCTCATCTGAAACATATTCAAACCTCCACATCCTCTGTCTGGAAACTACCACAGAACAGTGAAGTGAATGACTTGTGGTATGCAAATACACTACTTCATTTTAATAATTATGTGTGACAATTTTAAAGAGAACCAAGGCACATATGTTTTTTTTTTTTTAGATATAATTATGAATGACAAACAGAAAGAAAAACCAGCTCTTTGGCTGCATTTTCACCAAAAAGTATGTCAACAAATACATTGCAGCTATTAAAATAAGTGGTGTAGGAAATAATACTGTAATGAGACCCAGATACTTTTGAAAGAATGCTTAACTTTGGAATGCAAACTGCCATTCACTGCCCAAGGTGTTTGTTTGAGCTCTGTGTTTTTGTATTTGCAAATCAAAGGACTTACTTTGAAGACTTGCTAAATGGTCCACAACTTTGTTAATCCAAAACTTTAAGAGCAGAACATAATAACTTCTCTGTAAAATGAAAAAAAACACATTCAAATTAAATAAAAAAATTTAAAAAATAAATAAAATAATGTTACAGTGCAGTTTAAATCCCCTAACTATCAGATGTGATTATGTAAAATCTCCTTATCGAACAAAAATTAGGACTAAAAAGGCTAATCAAGAATGATTTATAATTATTACTGACTTAAGCCCCTCAATCAAATTTCAAGTAGCTCTAGGCATGACAGCTACTCAGGAGAATTATTAAAATCAAGTAATTTAAATTAAATGTTTAAAACTTGTTGAGTACACCATACATTGCACATTCAAGCACCTGAGTATCTTCATCAGCTATAGGTGGAGATGACTCACCAAGGATATTCCTCAGTTCCTGCAAACATTGATTACCAATTATAATTTACATCATTCTGCAACTTGGAAATCTTAAAAGTTTCTTTGCATCACAAAAGAGGAGACACCCATCCCCATAACTGCCACCTTTTTTTTCCACTTTATGACAAATGTAAATTTTAGTAATATTTTAATTTGAGAGTAAATACCAAAGGTGTCTTCTCTAGTTAGGGAATTTGGTAGTTTCCCCAGAATTAAATGTAACAGTACTACACAAAAAAATTACCGTTTCACTACTAGCCTATATACTTTGAACTCTTAACCTTTATCCTTTTTTCTTGCTCCTTTTGTTCTTTATATCTTGCTATTTTTTCTTGACGACTGTTTGCCATTTGATGAATACTTTTTTGTCCCACTTGTGGTTCATCTGATTCTTCAAAATATCTGGAGAGGTCCTTACACAGTGTAAGCACATGGGTTAATACAATTGCACATGTTAAAACTGAAGAGAACAGGCTCACATAACCACAGGCTCACTAGTTTTCTTGAAAAGAAGGACAAGGAAGTTTACTGTCTTGTTCAGAGGAAAGTATAAAAGGGTTCGTGCCACAATAGAGTGAACTTTTTTTTCAGTTTCGTCAAAAACCTAATTTAAAGACATATAGCAACTCCTGCCTCCTGGTTATTAGTTACAGTGCCGGATTGTGTTGTGCAGGAGGTCGAGGGTTCGAGCCCCAGCCAGACCAATACTCATGGTCTTAAACATGAAGGAGCGCTCTACAAGGAAGTCTTCCCTGGGAAGACCTAGGCTCATTTGTCACTCACCGTTGACATGTGCGGGTCAAATTTAAATGCAGGTAGACGAACAAAAGGAGCTAATGAGATGTCTTTTGTTTACTTCCACCAGCATGGTGGCATGAGGTAATGTGCGAACCACCTACTTCAATCTCAAATTTACCACCACAAATAAAGACAGTTTCCATTGGAGAAAGGAAAANCTTTCTATAATATCAAGAAATGGATAGATATTCTAGTCTTCTCGGATAAGGACGAATAAACCATAGGCCCCATTTCCCACAGGGTTAGGGGTAGGAGACGTTAATTTCCCACACACGAGATTACTGTGTGGTGGATGTCCTCCCCTGGGGTGGGATGGGTGGGTGTTATGCAAGGAGCTTCTCTGCAACCATCTCAGCTTTGCTGTGTGGTTGATCAACTGAGTACCTTGCCAAGGGATGCCACCCATGCACGAAGCAGTGTCGTCATCATAGGTGCAGCCCCACGGTTAACAAATGGTAAACACCACAGCGTACACGAAAGAAGCGTAAGAGTCGCTTGAGACGATAGCTGAGAGTGACTCTAGCTTCTTGAGTGCTTAGCAACCTCCCGCGTGCATCCATAACTCAATAGTGTACGCTGTGGTGTTTACCATTTGTTTTATAACATAACATTGATACATTGTAGCTAAGGAGTTCCCTTTTATTTAACAAATCTTGCGTGACCAGAAAAAACAAGCACGGGCGGAAAAATAGTCTTTGCATTTGCTCACGTCAGCAGGGTACACCCATGTGCAAATTGAGGGCGCTAAATTGACCAATCAGAGCACGCGCTTTACTTTGGTTATGTTATAATTAAACTGTGGATATACCTTGTTCGGGTTATAGGCATATATGTTACGGCTCAAATTTATGTTGAGGTTGTTTTTTTTAACCTAGGTAAACTTTTAACAACCTAGTTTATTTTTAAATCAACCTAGGCTATTCTTCTATCAATGGTCAGAAAAAAGGGCCTTTCATTTTTAGGGTGTAGATGAAAAATAGGAGCGTGGTTTTTTGGGCGGTTCTTAAAAAGAATTAGCAAATTTTGATTGATTGTACTTTTATCACCCACCCCTCCCATCCTGACACTCCCCCCAACCCCAACACTAAGTTGTTCCCAGCCCCCTTAACTTCCCTCTTCACTAACCCCCCCCCCCCCAATCACGGGGGGAAGATTTAAACTTCCAATCTCCAGATTTGCAGTCCTCCTCCTTAACCACTTGACCACACAAGCAATCATTGGCACTAACCCGATAATTTCTCAACCTTACAATTTATTGGTCTCAGACTCACCACGGCCAAAACGTATAATTTATTCATGCGCATGACAGGTGGTGAAAATGGATAGTTGTGTAGCTGAAGAACTCTTCTACAAAAAATTTGAGTCGATGAAATCATCCAAAAAGGGAAAAGCAAGTAATTTAACAGTATATCTAAGTGATGAGTTCTATAATAGAGCAAAATGTTCACTTTATGCAGAGAATTTCAAAGACATTGAAGGGCTTTCAACAAGCGATGTGGCAACAATAAAGCACAAAAAGTGGACCCTACAGCATGGAAACATTACTAATCCAGATGGAAAGATCGTTATTCCAAAGCGTGATATTTTCAAGAAATTGTGTGAAGCTCACTCTGCCATAGCGCATAGGGGAAGAGACAAAACTGAACATTACATTCATGAGTCATATGCAGAAATTTCACAAGAAGTAATAACACTTTTTGTTACTCTCTGTAAACTCCATCAACAGTAATGTATTGTAACCAACCACATGACAAAACCAGTAATAAAACCCTTAATGGCCGATGGATTTTAAAACATGTTGAAATTGATCTCAGATTCTGTATCTATCACAGTGCAACAGGCAAATCTCCATTAAGCAGTTTTTGGAATACTACCTAGAAAGGAAGTGCATGTAAGTGCAGATGTAAAACAACTGGCCAATGAAAGTACTCCAGTCACAGATTTCTCAAATCCCAATAAAAGGAAACATGATGAGAAATATGACACTCAGTGGAAGAAACTCAAAACAGATATATTCAAAAGACAGTTAAGCTATAACACCAAAATGAAACCGTGCAGAAAGAGAGGTCCACAATTTCATGTTGATGAATGTGTCTCAATTAAAACTGATCCAGCGGACAAAACTTCCCCCCTTCATCCTAATGTTTTAATTGGCAAAATAACTGAAGTTGAAATGACTATGCCGAAATCATAACCAAGTTAGGAAAGCTCTAAACTTATATTTCAACAAACAGGTTAAATAAATGTACAGCAACAAACATTCAGCTGGACTATAGTACAGAAATAACATTTTCTGCCACATGTAAAAAGGCTGCAGAACAGTAATGTAATGGCACAATCATTTCTGTGCAAAATTCATAGAAGTGTAAGTAGCTGTGGTGTATTAAGAACACAGTAAAAGTACTTGTACTAATGTTAATGACATTACTGTAAGATTACTGAGTGATGTGAAAGTACTGTTACTAAGTAAGACTATTCCACCAGCTTATAAGATACTTGATCAACGAATAAAGACAGAATAATAGTAAGCAACTGAAGAGTGTGTGTCTCCACTAAATGAATACACAACAGTAGTTACAAACTAGCTGACAGTATCTGTGAAAATTCCAGGTATCCCAGATAACTTGAATGCTTACTACAAGGAGTGACAATTTCCAAATGTATTTGAGAAAGACCTGTGAATAAATCGACTAATTCCCGCACATTGCACTTTTGGTATTTTCCAACTACCTGTGTTCCCAAATATGTAGCTCACCCTAACTCTAACCCTAACACTAACTGTAATCACTAACCTGAATGCGTAACCCAAACCCTAACCCTTATATGAGCAGCTTGCATTACCTTGGATTTATTAATTATAACAGTATGTTATAAATAACCTAGGTTAAAAAAAATCAACCTAGGTTACCCTGTAAATCAAAATTAAACTGAAGTCAAATTTGACCTGTAACATATGTATGGAGGTTTTGCACAGCAGCCATGTTGGATGGCAGGAACAATGAAAATAGTTTGCAAAAGAAAGAAAAATTTTTCCCATGCGTAAAATAATCTATAATTGTTCCTGCCATCCAACATGGCTGCTGTGTAAAACCTCTATAGCAACTCAAAAGAAAACAATTGACTGGCTTAAGTCATCTAAAAATTTTAAGAGCTCTATTTCAGATCTAAAAAATTAGGTTAGGCATTTGTGAAAAATACCTCAGAAAATGCTTACCATGTCTGTCACTCCATAATTTTTACATCTTTTCAGATAATCAATAAAGTAAACCTATGGTAAGAAAACACACAGTGTTTAGTTCAGTCGTGTAGTCTGATTGTCTAGACGAGAGAAGTCCCAAGTAGGACCGTAGACGGTAGCAGTGACTGGCATTTGGACAAACTTAGTGGAAGTCATCATCAGAGTCAAGTGAGAAGATATTCTTCACTTGGGTGTCTGGTTTGTGCAAACTGATTGTTCAGTTATGCTGTGATACCCATGGCTGTGAAACTCAAGTCTTAATTAGTGATTGGTCGGTTTTGATCTGTCAGTAATGTTAATCATATGCTTGTGGTGATGTCTTGAATACAACATTTGTAATATGGTGCCAATAGTTGTTCACAAGTGCTACATTTAATTTCATGGAATGTATAAAGCAGAAAATTTTATTTTACTCTTGAAACAATTAAAGATTTATCACATATATTTGAGAGGATGAAACTAAAACTATATATAATGACTATTCCATTAACCCCTCAACTCCCCAGATCTGATTGTCAATTTTCCACTGGATAATGTATAGATATTATAATGGGAGTTAAAGGTTTACAGGAATTTCTTAGCAAGTTTCTTTTTCTTCTTGTTTTATTTTTTTCACTCACTGTACAATTCATACACACAAACCTTTGCAATGTTGAGTAATGTCATTCTATCAGTTTCACTCTTTCTAAGGAACAGGTCTCCAAGAAAAGCTGGCAATAATAGATATCTGAGCAAATAAAATGAAAACATACAACTATACACCTGGTAGTAAAATGACAGGGAAATCTTGGGACTACATGATTGTACAACCAGTATTGATTACAAAATAATTAATGACTTCAGTTGATAATAATTATTTTAATCATCCAAGTTGTAATTTACAATAAATTTACACTGTAAGGTTAATAAATGGTTTCAAAATACTTTTATTAATTCTGCTACTGATTATCAATATATCCAACCTTTGCCGACTCAAACCATATGTTAACTCAAATCATAATCCATTTCCACCAGATCTCAGCCATAAATGTACTGTTCTCGACTCCTGATAACTCAACTTTCTATACACGACCCCACAAGCAAAGTGTCGCTGTAAATACTTATCGTGTATAAATAAGGATTATTGATTGATTGATTGATTGATTGACTGGAAAAGACATATCAATACAGAACTCATAATTTTAGACTCACCTCAACTCAGAAGTTGGAACCTCAGACAACTCTTCATTTGAGCTGAACAAAGCCAAACTGTTGACTATTTCTGTGGCACGAACAAAGTGATCCACAGCAGTACTGACCTTCTTCTAAAAAGTAATAATTAATTAAAAAATTAATTAATTAAAAAATTAATTAATTTAAAAAGTAATAATTAATTCAAAGGATCAGGTAATTCATCAAGAACACATGAGAAACTTGTACAGAAAAAAAAAATAACTCAAAGCAACCAGCATCCAAAACAGAAGTAAATAAGTGGCATTTGAATACCATGAATAAACTTCATTATAAAAGGTTTTTAAACTCTCCTCATTGTGTTTTTCCTTTCCTTTGGTGAAAATTCAAAATTTAAAACAAAAATTAATTATGAAAAAATTCATAAACATCAACCACTCACTCACAAAAACTTTCCTTTATATCAACCTGAACCCTATAACTCCTAAGATCTGATTATGAATTCTCCCCTCTAGCTGCCAGACAATTCCTTGTAATTTGGTTGTGAGAATTTGGTGTTCAATCAATGGAATTAACCTCTACCTGATAAATTTGAGTATTCCACTACCTGTTAACTGGATAATGCATGCAGGGGTTTCAATAAAATTTCAAGTAGGCAGCTGGTTAGTGAGAGTAACAGACTGTACCAATCTAGGGGGTCAGGGGGCATGCCCCCCAGAAAATTTTGACATCTGGAAGCTCTGAAATACCATTTCTAGAGTTCTGGAGACCAAATTGAGTGCAAAAAATAAAGGAAAACTCCCTATCAACAGCAACATTTTTTTTTATTTTTACAATACTAATAAGCTGAAAATGGAAGTTTGCATGCATTTCCTGGAAATTTAAGGTCACTGTCACTAAAAACAATGGAGCTGAACAGAATCACTTACTACTGGTAAATCACATCATGCAAACTCAAAACTACTGAAATCAATCAAATAATCACTATTTTCAGAGAACTTTCTTTTACAACTGATTTTGCTCATTTGTCTTGAAATTAGAAGTGTTTCAGTTTGGCAATCCAATGTGAATTAAATCATCCACGTTTATATAACATTAATTCTTAAAAAAATCTTTCACTGCAATCTTAGGTAATAGGCAAATGAATATTTTATTGACAAAACTTGAGGGGTGTATCTGTGCTGGAAAACGTCCAGTTGCATTTTAAGTCTATCATCCATTTGTCTTTGTTTTTTGACCGCGAACCCATAAACAGTTTGCAGTTGAAAAACATTCCAAGCTTCTCTGCCTACCCACCAGAACACCTGCCAGACAGGCATCAGAAACCGTGATAAGATCAATTAGCTGCAGCTTTTAACTCAGACTTCAAATGCAAGTGAAAAAAAATGATAAACGCTTAAATGAGCATCTGATTTGTTTTCGTTCTGTTCTTTTTGTAATACCATTGCACATGCAAATATTGTTATCATTCAAGAAAATGCAGCTTTCATTCAAGGTTCGATTTATCAGGCCACAATAAACTCCTAAACACAGTAAACAAATGAAGGTAATTAGATCACATACTTTGCACACAGTTAAATTTTGCGTAAACCTTTAGCGTTTGATTGGAAAAACTTGAAAGAAATGTGTTAATATTGACTGAAATACAGCGTTTTTGACAATTATTTAATTTTGAAACTGAGGTAAAAAGTTCCTACAAGCCCATCAAAATGAATTTTAATTTAGTTTTCAAAGAATCTTTCTTTAATTATTTAATATAGGGAAAATGTAGCCGACTTCTCTGAGCGAAGTACCCGACGCTTTTCGTCGGCCATCGGTGCTTATTGAAAGCACTGTGTATGGATATGACAGGGAGAAGTTACATGTTAATCACTTCTGGGAGTTAAAGGGTTAATTGATTACCAATACAATCATTAAAATCCGAGTGGGTATCTCAGAGATGCAAAGCTAAAAATTTTTATATGCCCCGTACTAATAAAAAATTAAAGTAGATGAAACAAAAAGCCATTAATTGTCACATTGGCGTACAAAGAATGCTTTAGAACATTATATGACTTTTTGTTTTCTTAAAATGTAGCCTTGTTTTGTTTCAATTACATGATTATAAAATATCCTTTTTTGGCTAGCTGCACAAAGAGTTGTTTCAGTTTAGTTTCCTTTATGTTATAGAAGTATATTAGGCCTTTTTCCATGTAAACATTCAGTTTTAAGGAGTTGTCCCTGAAGTAAAGAGGAGTTTTATAGGAGTCCTCTGGAGTCTTTTTTTACAACTTGGAGTTTTCTCATCCCCAGAGTCAAGGTCAGATGTAAGTCACACTAGTCGAGTTCCTATTAATTGTGTTTTCTGTCGTAAGATTTGTAGTTTAGCTCATTTCCTTAGCTTAGACAAATCGTGCATTCCTTTTAAGTTTTCACCGCAAGTGTTGTAACAAGTCAGCTAGCCTGATTACATGATTCAGTCTAATAAATGTATCTAAGAGTCTGCTGTCCGTCCTGTACTTCATTATGGTTGACCTGGCAAACCCGGTCAACACTGCACCCCATGTCTGCCGTGCTGGGAACGCGACATTAATACTTGTGGGTACCTTGTTGCCTTGTGCCAACCATCCAAAGCACAATTTAAGACGTAACAGGCCTTTCGAAATCCCCCGGTGGAGGACAAACCGTTTTAAAAACACCTTCATGATGGCCTCCACCATTAAATATAACAACAACAGTTAATTTAACGACCGTTTCCTAGAAACCTATGTAGATAATGTAAATATAGCTTTTAAATATAGATAGGTTTTAGCTCATAGATTTTTTAATTGTTATAATTTTGAATATTCTTGTATACGTTATATAATATATTTATTTAATTACATTATTGTAATATACGCAATTCAGCCGCAAGGCTGCTAGGTATATTTAAATAAACTATCTATCTATCTATCTATCTTGCTAAGGTTCTCTTTCATACATCAGAAAATAATACCTCAGATTTGTTGATCACAATATAAACTACTAAGGAGTTTTGTACACAGTTGTCCTCTTTCTACATAAAAAAAAAATGAGAGTACTTCCAGAACACTGCTAGATCTTGTGCAACTTTGTACTCAAGGACATTGAAAGCATAGCAACAAATAGTGTGGGTATTCTATATGCAAATTCTGTTGCATTGGTATGATATAAAACAAATTAGTATATACTAAAACTACAGATAACATTTAAAATGCACTCTGACTTGTCACCAAAATGCTGAATATCCTTTACTATCATAGTTACTAAAAGTTGGAATCACCTGAAACCACCTGAAACCA